CTGAACTATTTCATATATTTATTTATTTATTTTTTATTTTTTTTGTTACTTGATTGAAATTGGTCTATTAAGCGCAGTGTGAGAAACTGATAGATGCTGTTGGTTAAACAAAATTACTGACTGCTATTATTTCAACTAAAAAATCACAGAACATAGGCCAGCGAAAAGATTAACTACATATAGACTAAAAGGCTGATCTTGTAAAGCGGATATCATTGATTTTTCCCCTACCTTTACTTAAAAATTATTCAAATTTAAACACTATGTTGACCCTAAGCATCAGAAACCTTGATCCAATGACAAGAACCGGTTATGAAAATTGGAGATTGACTGTGCTGAAAATATATAATGGTAGCAGGGCCAATGCAAGTATTTCGTGTACACCCCAAATCTATGATACGCACATCTACCCCATTTTACTAGTCAATTTTCATATAAAATATGAAATATGACTGTGTAGTGAACGAGAAACGTAGTGAAGTGAACGTGGAAGCGAGCTCCCGGACATTCCCAAACACATGACCCGACACAGCGTGTTTTCGTTATGTGGAAAGCTGACTACTTTTTGGCAATCCCTCCCCGGCAAATCGCACACAAAACACGAACTTTTTTCCGGGGTACTTGATTATCTCGTTCACTACAGACTGTAACTGAATTATGTACAGTAATGTATCATATACAATATAGGTGAACAATTCAACTAGAAAAAATTGAAAATAAATACAATGTATCTAAATACAAATTAGAGACCTATCATTCCATCATGTTTTATGGCAATTTTTAACATCAACTTGAGATTTTTCTTATTCAAAAAGTTGAATAATTGTAACACATTTAAGATCGTGGATAAAAAATAATGAATGTACACATTTTTTTTTTCAAGACATAGCACGGGCAAAATGAATTCACAGATTCAGGAAAAAGAAAAGAGAAAACCCATAATGACTGCCAAATTTGGAAACATTTTTCATCCTTTAATAGTCAGTTGTGCTTAGTTTAATTTATAATATATATAAATGTAGATAGGAAAAAAAGCTATGTCGATACAATAGTGAGGGCCAATTTTTTTTTAAATTGCTTGCTAAGGGAGAAAAAATAGAGAAAAAAAGAGAAAAGAAACTGGGATACTGACCTGTATCTAGACATTTTTCCAGTTCCATCACACTCACAATGTTATCAATTCTTTTCTTTTTCTGTTCTATTGACATTTTCTCTGGCAACTGAATCATGGCTGTAAACTGAAATTGGAAAGAATACACTTTAGAAGTTACTGCAAAGAAAATGAATAAAGAATAAAAATAAAAATGCAGAAATTAATATATTTAATATAGTTTAATAATATTAATTCAATTTTGTACCCCAAAACGTTTAAAAGGAAAAACTCAAAACAAGACCTATTGGAAATGGAAAACTGGATTTGTAAAGATAGATTTTTATTCTTTAATCACATAACCAATTTTGTTTTTGTTCTTTGATATCAAATCCATTTTATTTTTTTCTTTAACTAAATATCCAAAATTTCTCTGAATTTCTGGGACAAGGAATTATCATTTACATTTGTCTTCGTCCTTGTTGTTTTATCACATTTTGGTCATTGTGCCCTTCGGGTATCTGTCAATATGAGTAAACTTCAAGAAATATTGAACTGAACACTTTATTTAATCTACAGGAGTTGATTGTTCTCATTTGCCTGTCATTGTTTAGGGATATCTCAACTTGTTTGTATTTAATACTGCTCAATTACTGCTCACCCTGTTCCCCCTGTCTAAGACTGTACTACCCAGCCCAGGAATTGAACTCACAAGTTCTATACCACCAAATTCGTGAACTAACAGTTTAATCCACTAGTTTTGGTGGTGTGAGAATGTGGACATATGGAATTCCCTGACGAAGGCTGGAGAGTACAACAGCCGAAACTCTGTGACAGATGAAAACATCAGTAAGCATCAGGTAAATAACATAATCAAAATCTAAATTTCAGTGCTGTTAGACATTATAGTATCCGTCAAAGGGAAACAACACTCTGGGCCAATTTTATGAAGCTGCCACCATTTCCAAACCCATGCACAGAATAATCACGTGATATTATCCCTATCTATTAATCTCTGACAAATAAACAAAAGCTGGATGGGAAGCGGGTGAAAAAAGAAAAAAAAAAAAAACGTAGAAAAAAAAAAAAAAAAAAAAGAAATGGATTGAGAGAGAGAAAGAAAAAAAGAAAAGAATGAGAGAAGGAATCAATGTTTATAAACTTTTTTCTTAAATCATTTTACCTCAAGGAAGGCAATAAAGCCACTAATATGCAAGTAGTTACTGAGCGTTAGAGAATAAGAGGAAAAAAAACAAAACACATTTAGGGAGAGAGAACAAAAAAGAAATAGGAATCAAGAAGAGAAGATAACGATTGACATTGCATTTAAATTTTTGAAAATCAAAAAAACCTAAAAATAAAAAAGGAACCCTTACATGGAGCATTTCCCTGAGGGTCAGTTTTGATGGGAAAATATCCTTCTGCAAAACATAAGCAATTTGTCTACGCAAACTTCGAGTTAATTTGTTGCTATTGAGCTTAATAGAACCTTGGCACATCTGCATTCGGCCAGAAATAGTATTCAGGAGAGTGGTCTTCCCAGAACCTGTAGCACAGAAAGAGAATAAATGGAAATTAACATGCAAGTTGGTTTGATTTTGGGGTGCAAAACTGCATATGCAGCTATTTCACTGCACAGTATCAGGTCTTTTTCTGCCCCCCCTGGATAAGACAGTTTAGTATTGCAACAACAGCCAAAATAAGAGAAAAACATCATTCACATCTTTAGATCAGATAACCAAGAGATCTTTTATAACAAAAAAAAAAAAAAAAACCTGACAACTGATAGTACAATTATTTTTTTTTTTTTTTTTATTGCTGTATGGGTAAACTGTTACGATTTTATATTTTTAATTCCATGCATGCACATTGTTTGCTTTTGACTTTGTCAACTGCACAGGATAGTAGGGTCAGTTGGGCACTATCAGTGAGATAAAAAGCACTATAACACAATTAACTCTGCAAGAAATTTGGAAACTACATGCTGTACTGCTTGGCATTCATGCTGGACACTCTAATACAAACATTTCAGAGGTTTTTATATCAATCTGAAGACAGTGCAGAGGATTCAGAAAAGTTGGACCCAGTCAACATCATGGTGCTTGGAGTGATCACTAGTGATGGTAGCATTATAACCTCCAGTCATCTTCCCACAGGGCCTCAGACTCAACATGGAGGCCTACATCAAGTGCCTTGAGGAGGTAGTGCTACCCTGGGTCAAGAGGCTGGATGCTGGAAGACCCTATGTCTGGCAACAGGACTCTGCACCATGCCACACAAGCTGAAGAAACTACTACTGTCTGTCAAACAATTTCTGCAACCAAATCATCCCTTACATCTGGGCACCTAACTCCTCAGACGGCAACCCCCCTGATTATTATGTGTGGGGCGCAAGAGACTAACAAAAGTCCTTGTAACACCAAAGATGAACTGAAAGCAAGAATTATGACAGCATTCACCAACTTAAACAAGGAGACTATCCAGAAGAGATGCAGGAGATTCTAAAGTCATCTGAAGGCCGTGACTGAAGTCAATGGCAATTTTATTGAATAAATTTACTCTAGTTTTTCAAGATATTTTTGTGTACTTTTGGTAAATATATCTATTAAAATGAGTTGTGAGTGTTATTTTCATTTTTGCATAATTTAGACGACAATTTATCCATCGCACCCTACATTTATTTTTAAATGAATTAAGTATAATTTTCTTTAAAGAGTTTAAACAGCATATATGATAAAAAATATTTTTAAAGTATATTCAGCACCAAGAGAAATTCATGCCTGAACTCGTCGTATACAGTGTTACAGTGTTTTGCAAAATCAATGAACCCCTAGGATAATATTTAAAAAAAAAAAAAAAAAAAAAAAAAATGATCTCTCCTTTTCCAGATAATCAACAAAAACTATATGTTATTTTTTTTACATCTGATACCCCTCCCCTTTACTTAATTTTATGAAAACTTTAAAACTAGTAACTGTGTAACTCTTTAATTTCTTTAATTAAATGAAGAAGACTTTGAGGAATATAAATCATCAATTTCGTGTAAAATCTTATACTCCACGACCCAAACTTAAGCTCTGAATTTAAAATACAAAACTCAAGAAAACTAAGACATTATTTAATGAAAACAGCTTTTAATGGCTTTATATATATATATATATATATATATATATATATATATATATTTATTTATATTAAGGACGTTTTTATCTCAAGCCAAAACTTTTTTTGGTTAAAAAATGAATTTTTACAAGAATTGTTTTCTTTTTTTCAATTATTAATTTAAAAAAAAAGTGATAAAATTGATAATTGTTTTAGAATTAAATTTAAAACTGAGAGACTCTGGAAATGCTCTTATTAAAAAGGTCTACTTTTACAGATCATAAATTAGAAAGCTTATTAAAATGCATCTATTTTTAAAATAATTTTTTATTATGCCAAAAATGTATTAAAATCCTCTCTGACAAAAGTATGATTGCACATTTCTCAGAAAAAAAAAAAAAAAAAAAAAAAAATCACGTCTGCTAGAGTTATTTTTTTTTTCTTTTTGTAAAATCAGAAAAACCTAAATCATAATCAAACTATTTCAGGCATAAAATTGAGAGTTTGAAGAAAAACCACATTCCTAGGGGGTCAAAATGCAACAAAGTTCATTGGCAATTTTCAATTATATGACTGCCAGTGGTTAAAAAAAAAAAAAAAAAAAAAAAAAAAAAAAATTGACACCCGGCCACAGAAATCTTTAGTAAAAGGCAAAAGAGTTATCCACAATTCCTGACCACCGGAAATCAGGAGGTCCTTATATATTTTTTTTTTCAAAAAATAGCAGCGATAAGGAAAATTAAGCCAAATTGACTTTGACGTGTCTGGGTCAAAGGCCAGCCAGCCAGCCAGCAATAAACATTTAGAACAAGCTGTCAACAGCTTGTAATAAATCCCACCACTTACAAGATAATTAAAAAAAAAAAAATGTGTACGTAAAAATATTGTTACTCTTTTTTGTCTTATAAAATTTGAATTATAAGTGTATTTTTCGTAGTTTAAATGTTATTTTTATTCCAGAATTTTTTATGTTAAAATTAAATATATTTTAAAAGTTTAAATGTTATTTTTATTCCAGAATTCTCCCTCAAAGTAATAAGATAAAATTTGGAAAGTATATTTTTTTTTATAGTCCTACTAACCAGGCTCACTAGTGAGCACAAATTATGACACTTTTGTCCTACCATCCAGTAAATTCCCCTGATGTAAGTTATCAATAGATTGACATACATCAGTTAACACCTATCATTCAGGCCCCTGCCAAAAAAAAAAAGAGTCTCTCTTAAAAAATTTTCTGATAAAAAGTAATGTTTCTTTCAAATTACATTAAGTATACTTTAAATTTTCTAATTTTCCTAAAATAACTTTTGAAAAAGTATAATTGAATTTTACAAGATTTTTAAATGGGAAATTTGATTTTTGTTTATAAAACTGTCAATAATGGAAGACAATGATTGATTTTACGTCAATTTTGATGACTGAAAAAAAAAAAAAAAAAAAAAGATTTTTAGCTAAAATTTTGGATGTGCTAGAAAGGGTTAAAAAAAATACGCAAAAAATACTTTGGTCTTTCCTCTTAATAATGACAAACATTTAGGCAATGCAAAATTTTTTTAATTAAGTTTGGGGCTTTCTTTTCATCAGGGTATGTCATTTTTTTTAGCAAAATTTTGGGCATACTTAGATTAATGTGTGGTTTGGAATTGTAGGTGCCTATCTGATAGGAACATATGTTCTCCCTGTACACCTTACAGGAGATGTCTACAGGGACTTTATTTTGAACACACTTCCAGATCTGCTAGATCTAAATTCATATATATACAAAAACACAAACATGAGGTTACTTAAAACTTCTTGGCCCAACAAAGATGGAATATCAATTTATTTTTTTATGTTTTTTTTCTTAGAAGGGCCAGAATGAGAACTAAAATTCGTGTGTGTGTGTGTGTGTGTGTGTGTGTGTGAGAGTGAGTGAGTGAGTGAGAGAGAGAGAACTGTCAATACATGACTGAATATGTCCAGGTTTACCTCAATTTAATTTTTTTTTTATCCTTGTATAATTTTGGGGGGGAGCACAGGAAATTAAGCATGCATTTTGCATTATAAATCCCACTGGTTTCATCTCATTGTTCTATCATTTATAATTGTGAACACTGAAATCTAATTAGAAATCATTTTCATTGTGAAACAAATCCACCATTCAGTTTAGTCATTGGTGTATTTCCAGACTGCAAACTTGATGAAAACAAGTCAGATAAAATAAAAATAAAAAACAATGAAAAAGAAAAATTTTCTGGCCGGAGATTTGTTCCTTTGTCTTTAAAATGAGTTTGCTTTATAATATTGACATGCTGTTACAAGTTACAAACCTGTTTTCTGAATACAACTTAGGACAATTGCTTTTTTTTTTTAATTCTTAATACAACAGCATTTAGTTTTTACTTTGTTCACAGAGCAGTTTATTCAAAACCTACTTTTTTAAAAAAAAATACTTTTAAAACCTATGTTTTTTATACCTTTAAATGTTTTACGTTTTTTTTATACTTTTAAAAACTACTTTTTGCAATTATCTTGGAACTTTAAATTTTTTAAATTTAAAAATTTTTTAATATTTTTTTTCTTTCTTATGTATGGCATATCCATTAATCTCTTATGTCCTTAAGAAAGACAAAAAAAAAAAAAAAACAGTAAAGAACGTTCCAGAAACACTGACCAAAATGTAGCATCCTAAAGAGATCCCAATCCAAATAAGGATATATTGGTAATTTTTTTTAAAAAAATAAAAAAAAAAAAAAATAAAAAAAAAATAAAAAAATAAAAATAAAAAAAAAAAAAAAAAAAAAAAAAAAAAAATAAATAAAAAATTTCTTAGTATTAAGCATTCTTTTTACAACAACAAGGGTTTTGGTTTATGTGTGCTTTTGTGTGGGGGGGAGACACATAGTATTGCTTCAATCTTTCTTTTCAGATCTCTTACTATCACAATATCGCGGTGGACTAAATTATCTCAACCATAGCTTAGTAGATGATATTTCAAGATGACTAGATCAGTATGAACCTCTTAATGTATTAATTGCCTCAGCCTTATATATTTCTTGGTCAGCCTTGAGAATGTTAAACAAGTCAGATGGCAGGCCATCAGATAACAATAACTCAAACACACAAATATTTGTAGTCTGTGATGACAGACACTTAACTTGGGTTTCACACAGCCAGGACAAAAAAAGTTAGTCCTCCTGTCCTCTTGTTGACTGCAGATGTTCAGAGATTCCCAGCAGGTGCCTGAAACTGTGGATAGAATCCAACGCACATAATTGTCTGTCTTCTCCCAACAAAATACATATCGATAATAATCTTTTAGCGTGCGAAAAGACTAAGTTTAATAATACTTAACATCAAATAATCAATGAGTAAATACAAAATTAATCAATAATAAATAATACATTAAAAAAAACAAAACAAAAAAAACAACCCTGTACAATAGTTATAAAATTACCTAATTCTAGCCCATAGTTATTTCGACTCAGTATCTTTTAACATATAAATTTCTTTATTCCTGCCTATCCAATAACCATTAGGAGTGACCTACCTACACACAGTGCTCCACTGACCAACATATAGTCAAGTTACAACTCAACTGGGGATTGAAAAATTGGTCTTGATCTAAGTTGGTAAATTTGTAACACGTGTGTAGAAGTTCATTGAAATCAGTTGAGAAATGTGGACATGCATGAATAGCATACACACACACAGACATCTTCTGTTTTATAGATATAGAAGATTATATATAAATAAACAGACACACTCAACCTAAGAAAAGGTACATGTCAACTATAATAAAAACTCAACAGAAAACTAGTTTATATACATACATCATCCAACCACCCTCCAACAATAATCAAACTGATCCCACAATCAATAAAGCAGAGGTTCTGACAATTCTTCCAATTAAATCCTCTTCAAAAAAAAAAAAAAAAAAAAAAAAAAAAAGATTATGACACAGCCCTAAAAGATAGTGGATTTTTGGCAACACTCACATACACACCAAACAGTACAAAAAAAAGCTAACAGGAAAAGAAACATCATATTGTTCAACCCAACATACAACAAAAACATAAAAACAAACAGGAAAAATATTTATTAAACACTTCTTTCCTCATCAAGCACTTTCCACAAGATATTCAACAGTAAAGATCAGATATAGTCGAACTGAGAATATGACACAATAAAAAAAGCACAACAGAAAAATAACCAACATGCCACTTGCACAAACCAAACCTATTTGTAACCACAGAACAAATACTTTCAAAATGATATACCAAGTTACTGCTAAATCAGCAGAAAACAAGGGAAAAATATACATAGCAGTAACTGAAGGAACCCTGGAAACAGAAATTGTGCACAGAAAACATCCTTTAGAAATAGTAAAAACACAAACAGCACAGTGCTTTCTAAATATGGGAAATTAAAAACAAAAACCAAATTACACGGAAAATAAGGAAACCAACATCAGCCTACAAGAATAAATCAAAAAACTTTGTCTGAAGGAGAAAAAAGCTATAATTACCTTCCCAGACCAACACAAATTACTAAATAAATGATTAGAACGTACCTCAAAATGCAGACACAAAAATTAATTTTTACTATGTTATTTAAAAATTTGAAAACTAAAACCTCATAAAATACCAACATGAAAAATGCAAATATAAGCACTACATATATTACAAGTAATGTAACATACATTGGATGAAACCAATACTTTAAACAAATAAGATTACCCCCATAACAGAAAATAAGTAAAAGACAAAAAATCTAAATAAGTAAATAAACAAATTAAGAAATTATAAATGGACACAAACACAAGTAAATGTAATAATAATAATAATAATAATAATAATAATAATAATAATAATCATCAACAACTAATTTAGTAAACAATAATTAATAACAAGTAAAAAGTTCATTATTTACATTATTTAGACTATTTTCCTCATCTTTGTCGCCATATTTATTACAACGTTTTGGCCGTTGTACACTCCGGCCTTCTTCAGGTGGTTGGAATCTCGAACTGAACCCTTTATTTCACTCACTGGCACACAAGGCACAATGGATAAAGGTGTTAGTTAGATCCAGTAACAGGACCCAAAGAGTGTGAGTTCAATACCCGATTAAGGCAGTGGAGAACTTGGAGATAACTGATAACTGACATCCATTAAACGTGGCACGTGGAACTAGAACAGTCTACCCCAGTGAGCGAAATAAAGGGTTCAGTTCGACATTCCAACCACATGAAGAAGGCCAGAGTGTACAACGGCCAAAATGTCGTAATGAATATGGCGACAAAGATGAGGACAATAGTCTGAATAATCTAAATAATGTACATAATACCTCATCTCAGAAATAAAGACAAATACTGAAATAAAATTTAACCTTATAAAATAGCTAACAATAAACTGTATTCAATTCAATAATTTGAAATAACCATTACCCAATAAGCGTAAATAGACTTTACTACCCATAATGCACCACTGACCAGCATATATGAATAGTTGAGCTAAAGCACAACACACCTGAAGATTGTGTTCAACCATGAAACAGATTAATCACTTTGTGTTGACCTCAGTGTCCACTTTTTATATTTATATATTCAACACTAACAATAGAATATTTATTTTGGCCCCTGAGAAGAGCATTAATTATAGTCTAATCCTTTTTTACATTTTTTCTACATTACGTTTGGTACGCTTATATAAACTGTTACTCTTGGACATACTTTGTTCTTTTCAGTATTGCCATCTTCCACCATTTTGATTAGAAAGAGTTTAAGATAAAAGAAAACAACTCACCACTTGGTCCCATCACAGCCATTAATTCTCCAGAAGAGACAGTGCCCCATACATGATCTAAAATTGTCTTCTTATTAATTTCCACTACAATATCATCAAACGTCAGTTCTTGTTTGAATGATTCCACCAAACCATTCATGTTTATCTTTGATGTTGTCACTTCTGAAGAGTAAAAGAAACAGAAAAAAAACAAAAGACATTAGAAATTAAAACAAGTTGACTGTCTTTATTCTTTATGGCTTAAAGCTACTATTTTTTTTTTATTTTTGCCATCAGTTTGATAAATTTCTGCCACAAATGCAAACAAATACAAAATATTTGCAGTTAGTTTAGGAAACATATAATACATTTTATTAAACTTTATATTTATTTACAAAACTAATTTACAATATTTTTTGTTCATTTAAAGTAGACTACCCATGACCCGTTGAGTCACTGAAGGTTCAGATAATAAAACATTGAAGTTGCTTTCAACATTAAAAAAAAATTGTATGAAGAAAGTTGAAATAAAAATATTTAAAATATTGTTTGTTTAAAGAAAGCTGAAATATAAATAAGCACGCAAGCAATCACAGGAAGGTGGAAGGAGAGAAGTGTAAAGAGAGAGGCTAAAAGGAGAGAAGTGTAAAGAGAGAGGCTAAAAGGAGAGAAGTGTAAAGAGAGAGGCTAAAAGGAGAGAAGTGTAAAGAGAGAGGCTAAAAGGAGAGAAGTGTAAAGAGAGAGGTGGAAAGAGAAAGCATTTTTCTCCATTCCCTTCTCCCCCCTTCCTACACAATAATAAATTTACATCTTTCTTTCATCCACTTTCTATATATGACTTCTGGCAAACACACAAGCAACATCCATCGACTTTTATAATAAAGATATTAATAATTACACATAAACCTACAAATTTACAAACAGTTCAATTAACTTTTCATACCTAACGATTACGAGAGTCATGAGTTATATTGTAAATGCAGGCATATGTGTAATTATTAATATATATATATTACACATACACACACAAGATGTGTGTGTGTGTACATATTTTCAGAGCTAGTTGATAGCATTTTGTCAAAATCACTGATTTTCAACCAGTGCGCCATGAGAGCAGTCTAGACGTGACATCAAAGAAGTCCAAAGCACAATAAGTGTACATATATCAAACTAAAAATCGCTTTAAATTGATTATACAAGTATATCATTGTTATAATAAATAAACGTATGCATAATATACAGAGTGGGGGGTGCAAAATCAATTATTCATCAATATAATGAAAAATTTTCATTTGTCAATGATGATATTCTAAAAAAAGAAAAAAAAAATGTCAAGCTCAGATATATCTTTAAATGTGTTAAATTATAATAAACAGAAAAATAAATAAATATAAGTTTTTTTAAAGAATTTTAATTATCTTTATTATAAATTATAATAAATTGTTGTTTGTGTTAATAAATAAATCATAAAAAGTATTTTTAATCATCATAATTGTGTGCTGCAGATGTTTAACTATAGGTCCAAGTGTGCCTGGAGATATTAAGAAACGATTGAAAAACACCGATTTAAAAAGTAAAAAATAATAGAAAGCAACAACGGATTTAATTTCAATGTTTCTTCTCACTTTACATAAACGAGCATTAAGCTGATAGACTGAAGAATTGATCAATTTTGGTATAACACATGCATATATCTTGTTTATTTTGAAAAATTTTCTTGTGAAAAGTAAATCCAATAAATAAAAAGTAAAAAGAAAATAAAGTAAAAAAAAAGAGAAAATAAAGTAAAAAAAAGAGAAAATAAAAAAGAAAATAAAGTAAAAAAAAAGAAAAAGTAAAAAAAAAAGAGAAAAAGAGAGAAAAAAAGAGAAAAAGTAGAAAAAAAAAGAGAAAAAAAAAAAAAGAAAAAAAAAAGAAAAAAAAAAAAAAAGAAAAAAAGTAAAAAAAAGAGAAAATAAAGTAAAAAAAAAGAAGAGAAAATAAAGTAAAAAAAAGAGAAAATAAAGTAGAGAAAATAAAGTAAAAAAAAAAGAAGAGAAAATAAAGTAAAAAAAAGAGAAAATAAAAAAAAAAAAAAAAAAAAAAAAAAAGAAGAAAAAAAAAAGTAAAAAAAGAAAGAAAATAAAGTAAAAAAAAGAAGAGAAAAAAAAAAAAAAAGAGAAAAAAAGAGAAAAATAAAGTAAAAAAAAGAAGAGAAAATAAAGTAAAAAAAAGAAAAAAGAAAAAAAAAAAAAAAGAAGAAAAATAAAAAAAAAAAAAAAAGAAAAAAAGTAAAAAAAAAAAAAAAGAGAAAATAAAGTAAAAAAAAGAAGAGAAAATAAATTAAAAAAAAGAAGAGAAAATAAAGTAAAAAAAAGAGAAAATAAAGTAAAAAAAAAAAGAAGAGAAAATAAAGTAAAAAAAAGAGAAAATAAAGTAAAAATAAAGTAAAAAAAGAAGAAAAAAAAGTAAAAAAAGAGAAAAAAAAAAAGAAAAATAAAATAAAAAAAAGAAGAAAAAATAAAGAAAAAAAAAAGAGAAAAAAAAAAAAAAGAAGAGAAAATAAAGTAAAAAAAAAAAGAAGAAAAATAAAGCAAAAAAAAAAATAAAATAAAGAAAAAAAAAAAAAAAAAAAGAAGAAAAAAAAAAGAAAAAAAAGAGAAAAAAAAGAGAAAAAAAAGAAAAATAAAATAAAAAAAAAAAGAGAAAATAAAGTAAAAAAAGAGAAAATAAAGTAAAAAAAGAGAAAATAAAGTAAAAAAAAGAAGAAAAAATAAAGTAAAAAAAAGAAGAGAAAATAAAGTAAAAAAAAGAAAGAAAAAAAAAGAAAAAAAAAAATAAAAAAAAAAAGAAAAAAAAAAAAAAAAAGAAAATAAAGTAAAAAAAAAAAAAGAAGAGAAAATAAAAGTAAAAAAAAAGAGAAAATAGAAAATAAAAGAGAGAAAAAAAAAAAAAAAAAAAAAAAAAAGAGAAAATAAAGTAAAAAAAAAGAAAAAAAAAAAAAAAAAGAGAAAATAAAGTAAAAAAAAAAAAAAAAAAAAAGTAAAAAAAAAAGAGAAAAAGTAAAAAAAAAAAAAGAGAAAATAAAGTGAAAATGAAAAGCAGAAAATGAAAAAATTAAAAATTTTAATTTAGTGGATACATGACTGAGTAATCATTTCTGTTAAAAAATTACAAACAAAAATAATCAAAATAAAAAAATAAGTAAGATTAAAAAAAAAAAAAAAATGAAACCTAAAACTGTAACACATGTTTAAAGATTGGGTGTGATTAGATAAGTTGGCATAGAAATGGCCAGGATCCATGATAATGGATCACATGATACTGGTGAGAGAAGAAAAAAAGAAAGAAAGAAGAAAAATAAAATAACATTCAACATCGAGGCTGCACTTCAGCATCATTCTTTGTAGTTTAATCAATTTCATCTACCAAAATAAACAATCACTTATTAAAAATTTAAAAAATGGTAATGCTACCCCAAAAACATAGATGTCATTCTATAAGGGTCCAAAAGGGTACTTCAACATGGTGTAATGGTTAGCAAGCTTGTTTTGATAAATCAGTTATGACTGAGTCCCGAGTTTAATCCTCACTAGATGCTCCCTACTTTTGACCTTGTGCCATATCTAAACTATGTTTAAATTGCTATAAAAGGTTCAAATATCTAATGTAGCAGTGAGACTGTGAAACAGAATTTTATTTACCAAAATAAAGCATAAGTAATTTTATATAACAATTTCTAACAGTAACTTGAAAGTCAATGTCAAGTTGCCGCCTTAAATTACAAGGAGCAAATTGGTCAATATCCTAGTTCTTGAATTGACTTTCTTCTCATTCCTTACTAGCTAAACTTATTTAGATAGTAGCCTAAAAAAGTCCCAAGTTACTAACATTAGGCATTCAAAGGCTAACTCAACATGGCATTAACCTTGAGATAACAGAAGTTCATATATCTAAGACAACGAGGAATAGGATAAGTGAGTAATGCTTGCTGTTCTGAAAATTATCTGATGCTGAATTTACATCTTGTTAACTTAGAGTTAAAACTGCTTTTGTAGCCAGAGGTTCTGACCTTAAAAATATCTGAAAATGGCTTCACTTACCATCCATTATAGAAATCAGGCTAAAATCGCAAAAGACAACGGTAGGTACGAGGAACAAGAGGTGTGCCACAAAAGAGTAAAAGACAAACTGATTACCGCATTGATATTGGTGATCACCAATCTGAAAATAAACAAAATAAAAATTAGTCTTCAATGAAGAAGTTAGTCGACAAGTACTTTATTTTTTTTTAAATCTTTTTTTTGTTTTTCTGTTTATTTACATGAGTGGCATTTACAATTCCCATGCAGAAAATAGCCAATATGTATATTTCAAAGTCAACCAAGGTGTTACAAATCAAATTCCCAGGACTGACTTTGCTGCAGAGTTAAGTAGAATTTGTAATAAAAAGACATCACACACAATTATACTAACATATTTGTAACATAAGAAGGAAGTCCATAAGTGCTACATATTAATGAAGGCTGACCAACAAATGATCAAAGATGGAATTCTTTTTCCGAGAAGCATTGCATTACTATGAGTACCTCCACAAAAATGCTTAAAATAAAATCAGCATAACATGATGAAAACAGAGTTTTATCATCAAAATCTTTGTTAATATTAAGAGGATCAAAGCATTTTTTTGATTATTTCATGAAATTTTTTACTCCTTTTTAGAACATTCAAAATTTTGATTAAAAAAATGTTTTTTTTTTTGCATCAGCAATTGTACTAAATTTTAGCATCTTTTTTTTGCAATGACAGACACATTAATTTGAAAATTCTTCAGATTTTAATAAAATTTAAGACTTACTCACAAATGAAATTATTTTTGAATTTTTTTTTTATTAGAAGATCTTAGTAAATTTTTTTTTTTTTTTTTTTTTTTACATGTTTCAGCCTCTTACTTAATTTTATGAAAACTTGAGAAATTCATCAAGATAATTTTTAGTGACTATATTACTTGAAAGCAGAAGTTTTGAAGAATTTAGATCTTTTTTTTTTTTTTTTGCAAAATCA